ATTCCCTAACTTTGACGGCTCATTGGGATAGTATCCAGCTTTTGCAAATAGCCTATAAGCGTTAGGATCAAAACCTTCATCTGTTCGCTTTGTAGGGAGTACCATATTCAGCAAACGATTTTGGGCCACAAACCCTGCAAGTGGCTTTGAGGACAACTTTACTGCCTCAATTCGTTTTACCGGAAGAGTTAACTCCTTTAGCATGTTAGTTTGGAGATTATATGATTCACCTTCATCTTTCTTCCTTTTAGAGAAATATTGGAGCGCAGGAGTTACTTTCTTGCCATAAGACGCAATATTCCCTCTATAAGGATTATTCAAGTTAGGTTGTACCTCCTCAGTAACAGCTTTGGCTTTACCAGCATTCACCTCGGCTCTTTTAGTTTTGGGCTTGTCATTCTTGCTTTTCATGACATAATCAGATTTTAGCTCTTTCACAATGCAGTTCTTCAAGTAGAACTTTGCATCAGCTAAGTGTGACTCAGCCTCGGTGAATGGCTCATCATCAACAACTATCTTCTTCTCGACTTCACCCTCGTAGTATTAAACATTGATGGTAGGTCGATGGAACTACTTTATTCTCATGTATCCAAGGCCTTCTAAGCAAGACGTTGTATGAAGTCTTTGCATCGATCACATGCAGCCATGCACTTGATTGCATATCTTCGATAGTGATTCTCAACTTGATCGCACCTATGGCTATTTTCCCCCCTTGGTTGAATCCTTGGATCATCACATGACTTTTCGAGAGTTCGTTCATGGGATAACCAAGTTCTTTCACAGTTCAAATTGGCAAGATGTTCACTGAGGATCCTCCATCAACCAAGATTCAATTTACCCTTTCATCATGCATATAGCCAACCAGGTACAACGGGCGGTTATGAAGAGTGTCACCTAGTAGAAGATCATCATTTGTGAATGTAACATTTTCCTCGCATGCGTTAGCTTATTGAGAAATAGACTCGATGAGCGTTTTTGAAGATGGTGCCAATGGTAGGTCATCACTCTTTTCTTCCCCTTTATCAGCATTGGAACAAGATGCCTCAATACTGTCACGGAAAATCTTCATGCGGAACCAACATGGAAAGAAATCCTCCAAGGTCACTGGATGTCGTGGCTTTTGAGGGTAGCGCATCTCCACTTTTGCTTTCTTCAAACGCCTAACTGGATTCTATTTCATTGGTCTTTTTACCATCATCTTCCTTGTTGGTTGTTCTATTGATTCTTTTCGTGGGCTCCTTTTGTCGCACCTACGATGAGTCACCAACGTCCAACCTTCATCATCATCAGGTTGATCGACTTTAACTTTGTTGTTCTCTAGTAATTCTTCATCTTTACTTTTTTTAAAACCATATAATTCATCCGGACTGAATGAGCCAAAGGTGATAGAGATTTGGTTCGCGGCTTGCTTTCTCATCTTCAAGCACGATCTTCTTTTCACGAGCCAAGTCCATAACTTTGTCCTTGAAAACAAAGCACTTCTCTAGAGGGTGGCTCACAAGTCGATGGTATTTGCAGTAATTTGGGTCATTCATTTTACCAGCTTCATTTGGCCGCTTCATCTCCAGAAGCTCAATGAGATTTAACTCGAGGAGTTCTTCAAAACTTGCTGGCACACCAGAATCCAGAAATGGGTACTCCTTCTCTTTCATTTCTTTTAGAGTCAACTTCCCACTTGGTTTCTCTTGAAAAGAAGTAGATTTCGTACTCTGCGTCTTGCTTACCTTCGTTGTGAACTTCACAGGTAATGTGTTGACATTCATAGCTTCTTTGTTTTCAGACCTGGGTACAAACTTACTCCATTTCCTGACTTCTTGCTTGTCGTTCCCTTTGCGAGGCTCATAGATAGGCAGGCTTTCATTTCCAGCGGAGGCCATGCTTAGCTCAATGTCATGGGCACAAGTCACAAGTTCTTCAAATGTGCTAGGCTTGATACCTTGCAGGATATAGCGGAGTCCCCAATGCATGTCTTGGATGCACATCTCTATGCCAGAAGCTTCACTAAGCCTCTCTTTGCAGTTGAGGCTTGTATTCCTCCAACGATTGATAAAGTCGATAACTGGTTCAACTTTTCGTTGACGAGTATTTGTAAGTTCTATCATACTCATAGTGTGTCTCGTGCTATAAAAGTGATTGAGGAACTCTTGCTCTAGTTGATCCCAGCTATTAATGGATCCAGCCTCGAGGTCTGTGTACCAGTCAAAAGTATTTTCTTTTAGCGAGCGGACAAACTGCTCTACAAATTCTGGCACGCCTAGTGGGACAATCTCTACCTCTCATATCAAATTTTCAATCACCAAAGTTCAAGAACATTAAAATGGCTTCAAAGAAAATCAACTCCAATTCAACTTCCACCAAGGCTTTTAATTCCAGGTTCTATGCTGATATGGAAAGCATCATCGATGTTACTTTTGGAAGCTTTGGACCAGTTACGAGGAGCAAAGCAAGCTCTTTAGGACAACAAGCACTTCAAGTGTCGTCCGCATCAACCCCTGTTTTCGGGTCTTCATCCTCAAAAGGAGCAAGATCTTCCACAAACGCGCCCGAAGGAGGAAGCGATATTGTAGAAAAGATCAAGAAAACTCTTGCTCTGCCTGACCTCTCCGGATCCAAGAACTCTGTTGTGAAGGAAGATGATGATGCTTCAAGTGATGGATCCTCCCCACTTACACCGCATAGCGTGAGCCATTCGAGAATCAATCTGCGTGACAATCCATGCTACTCCCCATCATCTACAATAATCGTACAAGCCATGGTGACAAATACTTCATCTGCGGAAGAGCAGTTGGCAAACTTGACGGAAGCAATAGCTGGCTTGACCAAGTGCATGCAAAATCAAGATGCTAGAATTGACAAGCTAACAGACTAGGGTGGGAATCTTTATGGAAGAAGAATCCGCCCATGCACATGGCAAGCTCCCAGAAGTTCCAGAGATTGATTCTCCCCCAAGACGAGTAGCATCCGCTAAGGCTATCCCTGTATCATCTGAAGGGATGACTCCTATCGATCAACTGAAGGAGTTCATTGAAGGAACTATTAAGAATAAATATGAAGTTGCTGCCAAGTCCTCCCTTACATACGCAAAGTTGTACACTGCAAGGATCGATATGTTGAAGATACCTGTTGGCTATCAACCTCCAAAGTTTCAACAGTTTGATGGTAAAGGCAATCCAAAGCAATATGTGGCGCACTTCGTTGATACATGCAACAACGCTGGGACTTATGGAGATGACCTCATCAAATAGTTTGTTCGCTCGCTAAAAGGAAATGCTTTTGATTGGTATATAGACCTCGAGGCGGGATCTATTGATAGCTGGGATAAACTAGAGCAAGAGTTCCTCAATCGCTTTTATAGCACAAGGCGCGCTGTGAGCATGGTGGAACTCATAAATACTCGTCAACGGGAGGGTGAACCAGTTATCGACTTTATCAATCGTTGGAGGAATGCAAGCCTCAACTGTAAAGACAGGCTTAGTGAAGCTTCTGGCATAAAGATGTGCATCTAAGGCATGCATTAGGGATTGCGCTACATCTTGCAAGGTATCAAGCCTAGCACATTTGAAGAACTTGCAACTCGTGCCCATGACATGGAATTGAGCATGGCCTCCGCTGGAAATGAAAGGCTGCCCATCTATGAACCTCGCAAAGGGAACGACAAGCAAGAAGTCAGGAAGTGGGGCAAGTTTGTACCCAGGTCTAAAAACAACGAAGCTATGAATGTCAACACATTACCTGTGAAGTTCAAAACGAAGGCGAGCAAGAAGCAGAGTACGAAATCCACTTCTTTTCAAGATAAAATAAGTGGGAAGTTGACTCTAAACGAAATGGAAGAAAAAGAGTACTCATTTATGAATTCTGATGTGCCAGAATTTGTAGACAATAAATTGCGTCAAGAAAATAAAATTGAGACCGAAAAATATCGCAGCAATCATAGTATTTTATTTCAAACAATATGAGTGTACAATCTCTATAAATTCTCTGATTCTACTTTTCAATAGTAAATAAAAGAGCCTTCGAGCTTAATCTTGAATTTTATTTTATTTTAATCCAAGTGCTTGAGACTTTATCTTGATGTTGACGTATTTTAATCCAAGGGCTTGCAGCTTGTTCTTGAATCTTCGTCTTGATATTTTAATCCTTAAAACACTTGAATGCTTGTAGCTTTTAGAGAAATCTGCAGCGTTTGATCCATGAGCTCCCTCTTGCTTCCTGTTATAACTTCTGGTATCTTTTCTGAGTTATGAAGACCCCTATTTATAGTTGTAGAAGGGAAGAATTGTGATGACAACAAACTCTTTCCGACCAATCAGATTGAAGAGTGACAAGTCCGCATTTGATAGGCCAGAACATGTCACTTGCACATGTGGTGCGGTTTTATTGGTGTTTTAGTTTGACTTGGCATGCCTTGTCATTTTGACATGTGGCATGATCCTATTAGCTTTTCCCGTTTGACTTGGCGTGCAACGCCATTTGACACGTGGCACCAAACTGGACCTCTAGGAAGATGGCATTTTGGGCCTAAATGGACTCATCATTTTGTAGCCTAACTAAATGGGCTAGCCCAATCAATATTTATTGGAATTAAGTAATTAATTCAATTATATTAGTCCATAATGTTTATTTGGACTAATATACTTTGAATTTAAAGTACAATCCAAATAATTTTATGAATTTAAACCAATAAAATTTTGCATGCCTCCAAGGTGCTTCAGTGGTAATCTTCTTGATAATTAGCCAATAAAACCTTGATGCTAGAAGAGACAACTTGGGTATACATGTATTCAAAATTTGACCCCTTTTTTAATTTATATTTTGACTAGTTCAACTTTGGCGAAATATCCTCAAAGCCTTTAGACCAAAGGCAATGTGACAAAATGAGGAATGAACTTGTGATGGTGATTTACTTTAGAAAGAAATGGATGTGCGCAAGTTTCGAAATTCTATGTTTGGTGTTAATCACAAGTATTAGTATTTAAACAACACTTGAAAAGTAGAAAAACGGACATTTCATCGTTGTTGTCTCTTAGAGACCGAGCCCCTAAGCTAAAAAGAAAAACTTCTTGTTGGTGCGGCCGGTCAATAAAGGGCCCGAACCCCTATAGAGTTAAGGGTTCGACCCCAGACCATCGTAACAACAACTGGAAGGCAAAAAAAAAAAAAAATTATATCAAAGATATATAAAAAAAATTTATAGAAAAGAAGAACAGAGATGGGAGGACCTAAGTTAATGTATTCGTTCTTCTTTCTATTTATCATTTTTGCTACAATAATACCGTGCCTAATGGCTCACATTGGTGACTTCGACGAGGTGTGGCGGAGGAGAGCCGAAGAAGCTAGAGAATACGCCCGTCAGATTTATGAGCCCAACCCTGAAAATGTCACCCTTGCATTTAACCAGAAAGTTCGCGAGTAAGTTAATTTTCTCTGAAACGAATTCAGAATTTACTTTTATTTTGTTCCGGCGTTTATAATCTTTGAAAAGAAAAATGATGAGTTACAATATAATGCGCGCAGTAGTATGAAGGAAGTGACAGTTAGCAATAATAGCACAAGGAGGGGTCTAGGGACGAAAAAGTACAAAGGACCTTGCATGGTCACAAATCCAATTGATAGGTGCTGGAGATGTGACCCTAATTGGGCTGACAATAGGAAAAGGCTAGCAGATTGTGCAATGGGCTTTGGATCCAAGGCCACCGGTGGGAAGGATGGCGAAATCTACATCGTCACCGACAATTCAGACGATTATGCTGAACCAAAACCTGGAACTCTTCGTTATGCCGTTATCCAAAAGGAGCCATTGTGGATCATATTCGAAAGAAGTATGACCATCAGGTAGGTGTTTGCAATTCAATGTTTCTTCTAATTTGTTCGTAAATTTACCCATTTTCATCTCATCGCCTCCAGGTTACACCAGGAGCTGATAATGCAGAGTGACAAGACTATCGATGCTCGTGGGGCTAACGTTCATATTGCTAAAGGTGCTGGCATTACCCTCCAGTACATCAAGAACGTGATCATCCACGGACTCCATATTCATGACATTGTCGAAGGAAGTGGTGGGATGGTTCGTGACGCAGTGGACCATATTGGCATACGTACCGTTAGTGATGGAGATGGCATTTCTATTTTTGGTGCCTCCAATATATGGATTGATCATGTCTCTATGAGGAAATGCTATGATGGAATCATAGACGCTGTGGAAGGATCCACTGCTATCACTATATCCAATGGACATTTCACTGATCATAATGAGGTCATGTTGTTTGGTGCAAGTGACAGTTCTTCAATAGATCAAGTTATGCAAATCACATTAGCTTTCAATCATTTTGGAAAGAGATTGGTGCAGAGAATGCCAAGGTGCCGATGGGGATATATTCATGTTGTTAACAATGACTATACTCACTGGAATATGTATGCCATTGGTGGTAGCATGCATCCCACTATCATTACCCAGGGTAATCGTTTTATTGCCCCTCCTGACATCTTCAAGAAACAGGTAAAATCAAACACTACACTTTCTTTTGTTTGCTTTTTGTTTTTCTTTAAAAAATATCTTTCAGATTTGTAATTAAGAAGGATATAAGCATAATTATAGCTTATAGAGCCCGTTTGGATTGGCTTAAAAAAAGTATTTTTTCGGCCAAAAAACAAATAAGTTGGGTTTGCCCAACTTATTGCTTTTGGCTTATTTTAAGCAAGTTTAAACTCATGTTAAGCACTTTTTAACTCTACCAAATACTAAAAAAAAAAACTACAAAGAGTTTAAAAGCTGATTTCACCCGCTTAAAAGTAAATCCAAAAGTGATAAAGTATGAGAAAGGTGATAATGGCGTATGAAGATACACTTACTACAATGAAGTCGATCTTTAGCCTTTACCGGGGTTGTCTAAAAAAAGGAAGGAGATGGATTTACCTAAGTAAGAAGCCGCTAGCTCCTGGGCTTAGCATGTGAGTCACTGCACTCGAGCAAGAACAACGAAAGGGAAATCACCTATATTGAGGAAAAGAGCTTCTCTAGCTTTTGCACACGCAGGCCCTTTCTTCTAAGCCCTTTTATCCTAATCTTATCTACTGAAAAGGAGTATCAGTGTATTTTTAATCGGCTATTGTAGCTTATTTACTATACTATCAAGTTTACTAAATTAGAAACTATAGATAGTTACTGATCCTATAGGTTATTGTAAGTTATAATCTGTTAACGTGATGGTATAAGCAAATTATACACTATGAAGTTAATTTCAATTATGAATGTGTACATATAGGTAACAAAGAGGGAGTACAACCCAGAAGAAGTGTGGAAGCACTGGACATGGAGATCAGAGGGAAATCTATTCATGAATGGTGCATACTTCATTGAATCTGGTGATCCAGATTGGTCCAAGAAACACAAAGAGCTTTATGACGGAATATCAGCTGCCCCAGCTGAAGAAGTCACTTGGATAACTAGATTTGCAGGTGCACTTGGCTGCAAAAAAGGAAAGGCTTGTTAATAATAAGGAAAAAAAAAAGAAAAACAATGTTCTAAACATCTTATTAAGACGGAAAATCTTGGCATCGACCGACGGCAACTGGATATTAAACATGTCTACAGATTTTTCCAACCACGGTGAAGTCGGAGGAACGCTACCTTTTTTTGTATGTGTGTATCTATATTGAGATTTTTTGTAAATTACTAAATGACCTATAAATATTGATTACCCTTTTTGTGTATCTGTTGTGCCATTTGCAGTTTTGTAGTCGATGTTTTGGTTCGCTAATAAATGGTATTTGCAAGATTTTTTTTATTTTTCCCAGTGTCTCAGCCAAATTTACTTAGTATTACCCGCCATGTTTGTGAACCAAAAAGAATAAAATATAGTAATATTATTCTAATGGTCTGGTGTATATTCCTTTCAGCCTCTGGCCATTTATGGTAAAAAAGAAATAACAATCCGACCACACACACATTAAAAAAAAGAAAATGTGTTTGAAAATTTAGCGATTGTAGGGGCAACTGAATATGCTACCTTAATATGTGGTGCCCTCCACCCCCTTTAAATACGGATGGCTCCTTTGATGTGGAATGAAAAACAGCATGTATTGGACGGGTCCATAACTAGTACCGAACCTAGAAATTTCGCTAAGACTATTCACATTTTGAACCGTCTAAAAATTCATCATCAATTTGAATTCGCAAGTCACTCCTGACAAATTTCATTGTTGAAAGTTATTAAAGCAAGTTTCACTAAGCGGATATAAGAGGATAGCTAAATTACTTCTTTGTCTCAAGTATTTATCTTGAAAGATCAGCAGATCCATCTAATTTGAGAAAAAATAACAAAGTTACGTTGGTTATGAGTAGCGACGCCACCGACCACAAGGGCAACCAGATAGTAGGCTTCTCCCAGAGCAACTTCACAAGCAACACCTTAACTGAATTCTTATAGGAGTCATTTATTTGATAGTATTGAGCACTTAATCCCGGCTTGATTTTTTATATATATAATAAAAGAACGCGCATGAGTATTTTTGGAAGTGGATTAGGTGCCTCTCATTCGATCATTGAGGGTATCTATTTTGTGGTTTATTAGGCTTTATGGTTTTATAAGTGTTTGAAAGGGATTTGGTTGGAGCGGTCGTGCAAGCAAGCAAAGTCGAATATATTAAATGAGCTTGCTGCACTCCAATCCTTTTCTTTAATATAATAGGTTGTCTACGTTATTTGTTTTGCAGCAAGAAGCCCTATGAACCCCTCTCATAGGTGACTGGAAAGAAAAAACGTTAGAAAAAGCCCTTATTATTATTATTATTATTATTATTATTATTATTATTATTATTATTATTATTATACAACTGGAAATTAAACATGTCTAAAGATTTTTCCTATGAACCCCCTCTCATAGGTGACCTTTGAGGTGGAATGAAAAACAACATGTATTGGACGGGTCATAAGGGACCACAACCAGTGACGAAACTAGAAATATCGTTAAGGATATTCAAATCTTGAACTTGTATAGGATAAAATATGCTATGACACGTGGCCGTCCAAAAAAGGGACACGTGGAACCCAAGACGAGGGGATGACCAAAGACCGAAGGCAACTGTTTCGTTTATCACCGGAAAGAATAACGCTCATAAAGATGTGATAAATGCTCTTCGCCCGATAGCATTTAATAAAGAATATTCCGTGGTATTAAGAGCGATTACCCGTTACAGGAAATTTGGCATTTATATTTACCGTTACATCTTCGTCAATGAACCTCATAATTGACATTAAAGAAGGGCACGATCCTAAGACCTCCTTCCCTAGATATAGCTTAAATAGCGAGCTCAATTATCATTATAAAGGGCATGAATTTTCTGGCAAACTTACGTTACATTCTATATAAAGCTTAATACAATCTTATCTTCTTACTTTTTGATTTCGTTGTTGTTGTGCCCGAAAATTCTGTTCCCGGAACTGTTATTTCGTCTACATCCTAAGGCTAAGTATTGCATAATTTTTCGATTATTTTATTATTTCAGGATCAAATTAATTCACTTGTCTAGAAACTACGTATAAATTTAATTGTACCTTTTTACGTGTAAACAGAACCATCTAAAATTCATCATCAATTCGAACTCACAAGTTACTCTTGATAAATTTCATTGTTAGAAAGTCATTAAAGCAAGTTTCACTAAGCGAATACAAGAGGATAACTAAACTACTTCTTTGTCTCAACTATTGTTTACCCGAAAAACGGATAGAGTTGAATTTATACGTAGTTTAAGGATACGTAGTGTAACTTGGCACAAATCGTAAAATAAGTAGAAATATATTGAGTATTGACTGTATAAAGAATGAAATATAAACCAAACTGAGTGGAAAACGGTTTATGAACATGCAAGACGAATCAATATATAAAGGCCAAAAAAGGATAATCTATGAATATCGGTTTGTTTTTCTCTGTGAATATCAATAACATGAGAGTGTATCAATGCCTTAATGATGGATCCCTTACAGAAATAGTAGCTATCCCTCTTATAGTGGAGAAATCCTACTTTAGATATAATTAAAAATACATAGTGGGGATCATATGATATATTAGCTTTTCTCTAATTCCCGCCGAGATTCTCTCCCTTAGTGCGGCTGTAACGGCTCTTGTCTCTTGGCTCGATCTTGGTCGGAATTGGTATTGGTCGATTTCCAGATTTAGAGCTCGATATTAACTCGAGCTCGATATTGACTAGAGCTCAATATTGACTCGGGGCTCGGTATCGAATCAGGCTTGATATTGGTCGATTTTAAGCTCGATGACACCGCTTCACTTCATAGTTCGATTTGGACTCGAACTCGGTAATAACTTCGAGCTCGGTATTTGATCGGTCCCAAAAATTTGAGCTTGGTAACCTGGATTCAGATTTCATCTCGATATTATAAAGATGACCTTCGGTCCATTATGTTCCAATCTTGACTAATCATACGAAGGTCGAAAACGGTTTTGACCGTATACAGATAGTCCCCTCGTTTCTCGGGAAGAATTTGGCGAGAAACGACATGATTTTCCAACAGTATGACTAGATATACACTAACGTTTGCATCGAGCCCGACCATGACGTACGTGATGGATATCCCGTCGGTTCAGTTATAAAGGCATTGAATGCGTGTCAGGCGATGGTCGGCCATTGCTAATATTGAACCGTCATTGCCAACCCTATAAATAGACCCTCTTTTTATCACTTTTTACTTTTACATCTCCAAATCTTCTCTAAGTTCCTTTTCGCATCTTTTGAGTTCTTCATCTGTGAATTTGTGATTTTCACTGCAGAAACCCTCTTTATAACACAAAATCTTGTCATCTTCCTCTATCTTCAATCTTCAAATACAAATGGCGAAAACGTCAAAAACCGTTCCTCAAAAAGAAAAAGCTTCTTCTTCGTGGCCCGCCGGCAACAAAACACCGGTGGAGCCATGACCCGAGGAGTGCGTTCTCGGGGTGTGTGTTCTTACCTTTGATTTTAAGATCGACAAAGCTTCATTGGTTCCCGGTCGATGTGAGACAGTATCGAGATACATGTTCTCGATAACTGAGGGATATCTTAAACATGTAAGGAAAAATTATAACTAGGAGATCAAAGAAGTGATAATCCTGGCTCCCGAATAAGATATTACTACCCATGTGAAAGGATTTTTAAGTGTGTATACTTACCCTTTCATGTTTGGCCCTCTCGACCCTGTTGTCATCGATTTTTGCCGCCAGTATCAAGTAACCCTAGGCCAAATCCATCCTTCTTTTTGGCGGATCGTTATTCTGATCCGCTTTTTCGTGAACAAAGTTGAGGGGATATCTTTCACCCTCGACCACCTTATTAGATTGTACAACCCCCGCCTCTATCGAGGTGGGTTAATAAAACCCCAGCGCCGGGCTACCAAAGTGTTATTCTCGAGCATAGACGAGGACAACGATCGAGGCTGGATGGGCAGGTTCGTTCGAGTGAAGACTTCTGACTTAATCCCGGCCGAGAAGATGTCGTTTCCCGAGGAATGGAACATGAAGCGTAAGTATAAATTCTACTGTTAGCTCCTATTATTTTGCTCCTTTATTTCTTTCTCACCGATATCCTTTTCCGTGATATAGCGGTTGCTTGGATGCCCGGTGCTATTCCTAACCGTAAGAGCTGGGTACGGGACCTGTCTTCGAACTCCACATATGCCGAGAGCTCGTGGCGCGACTTATCAAAGGGCCGATGGGAGGCTAAAAATCATGGTAAGCCTCTTTCCCATGTCTTTGATGATTCGAACAAAATGACTTTCCCATACTTAACTAATTTTCTTGTGTGTAGGCCTGGGCAAAGATGCGGTCATGAGGCCCTCGTCGGGCAAGAAAGAGACTTCGGCCCCGGTTCCAAAACTGGTGAAGGACAACAAGAGAAAGAATACCATCCCTCTGACCGAGGAATCAGTTCGTCGCCTAAGGGATAAAGACGAAGAAGAAGATGATGACTCCGGGATGGTGTCCTGAGTGAAAATGAGCGCCAAGGCTCCAAAGGCTACTGAATCGATGAAGGCCACAAAGATTCTATTTTGTGATGAGGGAGTCTCGGGAAGAGAATTGGTCAAAGTCCCCGAGTCATCGAGGATCGAGACTACCTCACACCATAATGAGCCAATGGTGGGTGCGGTTGTGGGGGCTGGTCTCGAGGCCCCTCGAGATGGAGAGAACACCCCAAGTGATTTACTTGGGGCTATAAAAATTGGAGGCTCCCCGCTGCTCCCCTCATTTTTCGAGGAAATTATTCGGGAGGCTCGGGTCTTGAAGACCCTTTCTATCGAAGAGGGCCACAGAAGGGAAGATCCTTTTCGTGATTATTTTACTGGGGTCGAAGATGTTACCGGCCTGGGCGATTTGGAAGTCTCGAGGAAGGACTCAGGTGAGGCATCGAGCCTTTTCAATGAAGTGCAGCGGGCTCCGAATCGGGTAAGCCTTAACTTCCTTTGTTGGTATTACCTTTGTGTTTGTTTTTCTTTTCTAACTTCTTTTTTTCTTTCTGCATAGGTCTCAGTGCTTCATTGGGAAGCATGTTCTCGGTCTCGAGCTGAGTAGGTGCGAGGACGACCTCCGAAGGCTTACGGAGGAGAGAAATGCCCTCAGACTTCTCTGTGGGAAACAAGAAGAGGAGACCAAGGACCTACGAGCCGAGTTAGCCAAGGCTCACCAAGATCAGACCAACCTGATTGAGCAGGTAATGAAAATTTTAAAAGCTCATGGGCTCGACTCGGGAACGGTGGCTAACGTTTCAATCTCACAGCTGCAGCAAAAGATCG